TTCGTAAAAAATACATGCGATGTGTCTGATGTTAGAATAATTAGGACAAGTAAAGAAGTAATGTAGCATCCTCATAGGGTGACCACAGGAACAGAATGATCAACTGAAATGTGCCGTTCAAACATGTGCGCTTTCAAATTACTGCACCCAAGTCTGAGGTATGAGTGGATAATTCCCAAGTGGAAACGTACCAACGTTTTTATCAAATATATTAAAATTGGGTGGTTTTGATGATTGGGAATACTTTTGAATTTGCCTATGGTTTCAATATCGTACATATTCTCAGGCAAATCATTCCATTGTCGTATTGGTATCTGGTAAAACGAGCTGCTATACAAATCACTACGGCATCTTATAGTTTAAATGTTATTACAGTTTCTTTGTCTATGGTCACTTAACTGTGACACTTTCGGGCAGTAGATCACTTAAATAAACTGGTGTCATATGATGAAACCATTTTGTAAAATAATGATAACTTGCTAATTTGTCTACGGTCAACTAGGGCATAGAGTTAGTTTCATGTATTTAATCATGACCAACTGGTCTATAGCTGTTACATTCATTAAAACTACCTTTTTTATGAATAGGAGTACCAGCTTCCTTCCATATTGTTTGGAATTTACAACATTCTAGGGATAAATTGAATAGATTAGTAAAGAGAGAGTACAAAGGGATGGGCACGATCACTTTGATAAATCTGTTACCTATTTTACTTTACATTCAGGTGTAGGAGTCTCCTTATCAGGATGAGTCAATTTAGGCATGGTTAGCTTAAAATATTCATTAAATATATTTGCTTTTATCTTTACTATCATTGATCAGATTATCGTTATGAATAATCGAAGGAAATTTCTTATAATCTCCATTTTTGAATTTTATATACTTATTCACTAAAGCCCACCAACATTTAGAATTACTCCCCTGATTGATCTTATCATCTGAAACCGTGAAATATATTTCAATTCTGACTGCTCACGGCTGCTACTACTTTGTTCCGCAAAAGCTTCAACAATATACAAGTCTTTACATCATAATTTCGAGTCTTTGCTTTCTTTATGCTGGGCTCATTTGCTTTTCCTGATAAAGTATTCTTATAGCACTATTCATCCATGGATTGACCCGGAGGTCTTATAATTACTACATTGTTTTGGGACATAAATTATCGGATATATTTCTCAAAACATCAACAAATTCATGTGTTAGTATATCAATATCATTACATCTTAAAGATGGAATTAGGGTTGTTATATATAGAGTACTTTTAATATGGTGGAATTATTTATAAACTGATTACAGGGAGTGGACTGTTTTAATCTACCCCCTTGTCTTGTCACCTTTTAATCTACTTTTAGAAACTGCAAACATGTTTTGGAAAGCGTTGTAGTATTATTTCCTGGAAGTTACGACTTCATCTATTTAACGGAACAATACACAAAGTTGTGAGTTTCGAAAACTGAATTAGAGTTTCAGAATAGCTTTCGCCATGAACTGAACTGACCCAGAGTAAAAAGCATACACATATATTTTGTATTGACGGGCGGTTAAAATTGACACAAATATAAATGGTTATTGGATTGCGATATGAATTTTAATACGGATGTCCATAGTGCCGTGTTCGACCTTCAGTTTGCAGCGTTTCGACGTTTGTTTTAAGACCTGACGTTTGGTTTCACCTCTGTGTACTTTCTTTGCAGGCCAATTTACAAGCGCATCGTAACGTTGTTTTATTAGAGGTGAATCATTTACAAAACAGAAGTTATATATAATCTTATTTTTCAACACTACATATAATAATAATAATAATAATGTGTCCATTTATATGAAGCCCCAAACTCCACACTAGGTATGCTCATAGCGCTTTAACAATCAAGGCCATTATTACCCTCGATAACCCAAGAAGCTGCCTGTTAGGCGCTAGAAGGTTAACTTTTTTCCACCGGGTAACGACATTTTCCTGCTGGGTGAACCAGAGACAATTTTGAACAAACTCACTTGCCTTTAGGTGAGACCACAGATGTCAGATGTGTGCTTGTTGTAGGATTATGGACTCAAGTCCTAGAAACTCTCAGGACTCAAGCTTGCCAAACACGGTCACCCATCCAAAGGACTCTCCGAGCTCGACGCTGCTTAACTTCACCGATTTGTGACCTGAGCTTTAAGCACAGGTTGCACGCGCCACCACTAGGACTACGCGCCACCACTAGACATAAAATGTTTCAACTTTGAGAGATATTAATTGACTCAACGCTTAAATCTGGGAGTTGACACGGTTATGACCTAAATCCACGTATGGACGGGAAGTTTGTTCATTAGCTTATGATCGGAAGTGAATGTTACCTGGTACAAACATTCACACACTTGGTGGCTAATGTTACCTAGTACCAAACATTCACACTTGGTGAAGCAATGTTACCTGGTACAAACATTCACACTTGGTGGAAGCAATGTTACCTAGTACAAACATTCACACTTGGTATCTATTCAAAGCAAGTCATCTTTACTCACCAAGACTCACCCGTTACTCAGTACTATTGACACTGATGTAATTAATCTTAACTGACTAACCTCATCCGGGACATTGTGAAGCGTTGATTGCTTGTGTGTTTATTATGAGTGAGTTACTTACGTCACTCATCTTCTGATCACAAAGCGGCTTTGTGTTTTTGTAGAATGGTATGGGATGGTGAGGTCCGTGGTGTCAAAATTGGCGTATCAGGTTAAAAATATTTTGTCAAGCATTGGATTAAGTAAAATATGGTTAAGGCAGGAATTACTACTATATTATCTAATAGTTATGAAACAAAAAACAAAAAAAGACCAAGGCGGCGGGGTAGCCTAGTGGTTAAAGCGTTCGCTCGTCACGCCGAAGACCCGGGTTCGAATTCCCACATGGGTACAATGTGTGAAGCCCATTTCTGGTGTCCCCCGCCGTGATGTTGCTGGAATATTGCTAAAAGAGGCGAAAAACCAAACTCAGTCAGTCAGTACTGTTGACACTGATGTAATTAATGTTGACTGACTAACCTCATCCGGGACATCATGAAGCGTTGATTGTTTGTGTGTTTATTATGAGTTATTTACGTCAGTCATCTTCTGATCACAAAGCGGCTTGTGTTTTTGTAGAATGGCGTGGGGTGGTGAGGTCCTCGAGCGACGTCATTGGGTCCAGGAGCCGATCCAGTTGGGTAGGCTAGTTGAGTTAAACCTTGTATTCATTGCATCCATGGTCCAGTATTTGACGCCCTGCCTAGTGTCCTCTTTGAGTGTACGTAATATGATAGAAACTTGCTAAAGTGTCGTAAATAGAAGCGACTAGACACTTCCTATGTTGAAAGACATCTCCACCTCAAAAAGTAGAGTCGATGTTACGATTTGAACTTTGCCAGAAGTACGTTTTCATGAATCACGAGGTGTTCGCGAATAGGTTCCCCACCACTCACAAACCTTTCACTTGATCCATTTGTAGTGACGATTCATTTTTATTGACGAAGTGGTAAACCAGAGTAGATTTATAACTTCCAGAATACGTCGAGGACATTTAATTGAAGGATGAGAAAGCCGCAATAACTCAGTGAGTTGTATGATCCCCAGGGAGTTGAGATTGATAATAAGATGTGCCTTTGGGATTGACATCCAGTGATCGACGGAATAATTACCAGCGCCTTCAGCATGTACTAGTGCGTGGATATGTGCGCTACATAAATATTCAATAATAATAATAATAATATTCTATGAACTAATCACAGAAAACCGTGTTCGCGAGGGAAATTTCCACCCTACCAGTAACACCTGCCGCTCACTAACTCGTATTAAATACCTAACGAGGAAATACCGTAGGGATAACGATTTATGTTCGTTTTTGAAAATAATTGTTGCTGGAAATTTTAAAATATTAAAGAAAATTATGCTGCCGACTGACAGAGTAGTGTATATCCTGAAATGTGTTAATCAGGCTCATTGTTTCAAAGTGTCCGGGATATCGACCATTTTGGGCGTGCCATGAACCAACAACTAAACAGTCGATTTTACAGCCAGGGACGTGGGGCACTGGCAACATTGCAATAGTGTAGTGTTTGCAACTTGGAAGCCACAATGAAACGTTTTTCAAAATGTTTACGTGTTTTGTTTTAAACAACACCAAAACTCTAGGGTGTGTACTTTCTTTTTGTACGTCAGTTTAGTTGAGCATATACACGTGCTAATGATATAGGTGATCGAGGTGAGTTGAAATGGGGTTTAACGTCGTATTCAAGAATATTTCACTCTAATGACGACGTGCATGCATATGTGTGGCTGTTTGTATTAGCCCAGACTTAAACTGGTTTTATAGTGCTAGCTCATTGCCACAGGAATACCCAGCTCAGACACATTATACTGACTCCGAGCCGACCAGGCCTCGTTGTACCCATTCATGCGGAACGCCATATAGGGACCACGTATTTTGGTATGACGCGGCCGGGGATCGAACCCACGACCATCCGCTCTCCTGGCGGACGCTCTAACCACTACGCCATGGAGGCGGTCCTAATGATATAGTCAAAATGGTTTGTCCTGATTATGAAAGGGTTTCCTGAAGTGTACCGCTGTTACCCCACTGGCATATTGCCGAGTGCGGCGTAAAACAACCAACCAACAAGACGTGAAGTAAAAAACCTCCAACACCGGGTGTCCCACAGTAACAGTCTTGGCGACGGATGTAGCAGAGGGGAGAGTCGGCAAACCATGATGACAAACATCAGTATTCATTTGTCTTTATTTCACGTTATTTTCAACAAAAAACAGTACCTAAGGTCCGCTTCAATGTCTAACAAGCACTATCTGGGGGGATCAGCTCCTTCACTGCTGATAGTGGAACGGGTAGGGATACCCTGGGTACAGACTGGGAGGGTACATCATCGGTACGTTGGGTGCTGGGTACTGATACATGGGCTGGTGCATCATGGGAGGCGTGTAGCCGTATCCTGGAGCAGACGACAACATGGCCGCCATGTTTTGCTGCTGGAGAGGGTAGTTCATCATCTTGGTGTCGGATGTTCTCTTGTTGCGTGATCGCCTGTTCTGAAACCACACCTGTGAGGAAAAACAAGAATAATTTGGTAACTCAAAGAACAGCATTAGCACCACTAGTACACTGATTCTGGCTGTTCGACATCACATAAGAAACGCATAAGGAGAAATGACTTCTGTCAAACTGTCAAATTAAGAGGAATGTTTTCAGTCACATCACTTAGTCCAACAGAAGACTGAATGAGAAGAAATGAACAATCATCATTACATCATTATGCTGGCATTGTGTACGTAATGTACGTAACAAGGTACAATCAGATTACAAAAGAATGTTTACCTTTAATCTCTTTACTGGAATATTCAGCTCCTGGGACAAATCTTCATACAACTCTACATCAGGGTATTTGTTCTCCAGAAACACCTGCTTCAACCTCCTCGCTTGCTTCTCGTTGTAGTTCTTCCTCGGATTCGCGGAGACACAGTCTTCCTCCAGTGTCTTTGGTGAGGACAGCTCTGACACAATTTCTTCTTCCTCGGTAATGGAGGATGTTTCCACAGAGACATGATCTTCTTCCTGACCTTTGGGGAACCACGATCATCCTGAGTACCTGTAGAGATTCGCCCTGAGAGGGAGGAACTGTCGGCGCTGTGGGTCGGGCTGGAGTTACTGTAGAAACCACTGGAAGCTGTACTTCCGTTTGGACTGGCGCTTTTCGACATCAATGAGGTCATCTGCTGATGTAATGGAAACGCACTAACATATTAACAAGCCGCTTTTAACAATATCCCAGCAATATCAACCAATTCATCAGTTAATACATAAATAATTACAGTAAATTGAGAACATAATTTCTTTGACAGAATATTAGTATGTTACAGGTTCTTGATCCTGTATGTGTAATACGACAATCTTACCATAAGCATCGCTTGATGATGGAAGCGTGCTCGTCTTCAGAATCCGGACATCCAGTTGTTCTCGGTGATGGACACAGGCTAACCGGTAGTAGGCTGATGGTTGGGGCGTGTCTGTACGGGTCTGGAGACTGAGGGGGTAACTCAGGGTAGGACTGGAGGTGGTGAAGACTGACAGGAAAAGCAGGAATTTCACATCTTTCGATTTTGTTTTGAAGGTAACATCTGTAAGGGTGACTGAGCTTTCCATCAACTTTGGATGTCTGCGGAGACTCTGGTATCTGACAACGAAGAAGATGTTCAAGTTTGAGGCCTCCGAATCCTTGGGGATTGGTCGTTGCTATGAAGCCCTCACATGCTGCTTCCGGTTTGGTTAATGAAGTCCTGTCTGTGATGCTGGGCTCTGAGGTCTGGACGTCATCTGACTTCATGATGTCCTCGATGGAGAATGGAACACGACGTCTGGGAGGCGCTCTCTGTGCCTCTGAGGACAACGTATTCGTGGGACCTTGGAACACACTTCCAGATGGAGTCGGAACAGCCTCGGGCACAACCTGAAACGTAATAACGAAGGCAGATGCTATATTCACAGGTGTACGGGTATGCTTTGGTCAATGCCAATCTCGATTACCCGACTAAATAGTTTCCATGTCCTGACTCACAGGAAGCAGTTACAATGTCAGTAGTCAGCCTTGTACACAATCAACCATCACCACAATTTCAGATTTTACGCAATTTCAAGGATGGAATGTGCTCTCTACTTACTATGGGCAGATAGATATATGAAGTGGAAAGGTAAAATGTATAATACAAGAAATTGCATGAGTAACGATAGCCTAGGAAGTCTACAGACATGTATTATATTAAACATCAAAACTTTCAAAAGAAACAATTTTCAGTGAAAGGTGTTACAGGCTGAGACATAACATACTTGAATAAAACTATACAGGCACAAAATGAAATTCATCTTCAGTAAGATTTTCCGCATTTAATGTGTGTTGTACGCGACATGCAAATAGGTGTTATTGAATTCTGACGCAACATGTTTCTGTATCACATCTCATGACATGTTAACTTATTTCAATGTAAACCATTCACTTTTCTTTGCATTAACACTTATGAGCACGGGATTTGCGTATGGGGCTGTGTAGTTGAGCTGTATAGTTGAGCTGAATAGTTCAGCTATGGCTTACAACATATTCATGTGTGTACCTGTGTAGAATCCATTTGGGTAGATCTGTATTCAATATATTCAAGATGCTTCAGGACCGACAGGAGGTGTTATAAAGACCAAGGAGAACTATCCTAGCATTTTATAGTGATGAGTGAGTTCACTTGTCGTCTCCCTCAGACAAAGCGACAGATTGGGGAAAAGGATCACAGTTACATGACGTCTCAATCAGCAGCAGCATCTGTAACAACATCTGATCATTGCCTGTATGCGTAGAGGGTTCATTCCCGGGAAGACGACAACAAATCCGTGGAGCATGCAAGGATTTTGTGTGATTTTAAGAACAGGGATGATACTAAATTGTTCACCGGTAAATAAATGATATACTCCCACGAACAATTATTTACACCCCTTAAAATACATATCACATTTTTATCCGTGACCATTTTTTCGATAATAAATAATTTATATACATTGAATGTCATTATTTTCATGGAAAGTATATTTTTACAAGATAGCATTGAATGATGTCCACAGTATTTAATACATATAGATATACATTTTTCATAATATGAATTAATTAATTACATATATGTAAATTATAAACAATAACACCACAATTATTTATACACCATCCACAATTAAGAAGCATTTATTAATGTAAACATCACACATGAATGAAAATTCCTCTCACACTCACTTTTATGTCATTATTTACCGGTCCGTGGTTATGTTGGCCAGGACGTTTGGTGATGATGTCGTCAACTGTAGAAATAGTTGAAGTGCAGTTCTTGTCTAGGCACATCCATGACGTCCACGATGCAGCATTGCGTTTGCGATTCACTCTAAACTTGTATCCATCTGCACAGAGATACCTCCCTCTACGTGAAGTTGGAATGAACTTGTACTCTAACTGCTCATTTGCCATTTCGAAGGTGATGTATTGGGTTGCGGATAAGCAGGATATATACCCATAATAATTAGTGAGTAAATATTAACACATAATCAGTGAACTAAAATCAGTGTCAAAGGCAATCAGTTAGTAGTGAGTTGAAATCAATGAATGCCAATCAATAAGCAGTGAGTTGATACCATGTCAATTAACACCGATCTCGTTATGCAGTTCAGTTTATAGTATAACCCACCTCTCTAATCCATTGAAACAACATGAGTCTACCTCGGCGAAACATCAAAGGATTTTCACAGTAATACCAAATGTCGTCTTCCCGGGAAGACACCGCGTAAAGATGCAGATAGGGGGGAAATGGCGGTAAAATGCATGTTTAATCCCTTTTTATAGAATTAAGTGAGTAGAAAAATAGAAATCATATTTCATCAATTCCTTATACATCGAAGCATTCATAAAATGTATACTTTCTTTGTAACATATGTATCATGTTAAAGGTTCCGCCATACATCTCTTTTAATTGGATTGTTAGTGTAAACATATTGTATTTAAAATAAATTGAACTAGGATTGGTAAACAAGCCGTAATGGCTTATTTGAATACCTCTCCATTTCAGTGATACATGCATAAAACAAATATTAAATAATATGCAGCATGATAGGAAAGCAAGCAACCTGCGTATTAAACATTATTGATCATTTATCAAACCTATGCGATTTTATTATAAAAGTATGGACAGATTGTAGTATGAAACAATTTACAAGTACAGTTTTGTTTGGATTACCATTTAGGACAGAATTTAAATTATATCCATGTTCGTAAAAATACATGCGATGTCTGATGTTAGAATAATTAGGACAAGTAAAGAAGTAATGTAAAGTATCCTCATAGGGGTGACCACAGGAACAGAATGGATCAACTGAAATGTGCCGTTCAAACATGTGCGCTTTCAAATTACTGCACCCAAGTCTGAGGCGTGAGTGGATAATTTGGCAGAAACGTGTACCAACGTTTTATCAAATATATTAAAATTGGGTGGTTTTGATGATTGGAATGCATTTTTGAATTTGCCTATGGTTTCAATATCGTACATATTCTCAGGCAAATCATTCCATTGTCGTATTGTATCTGGTAAAAACGAGTTGCTATACAAATCACTACGGCATCTTATAGTTTGAATGTTATTACAGTTTCTTTGTCTATGGTCACTTAACTGTGATACCTTTTCGGGCAGTAGATCACTTAAATAAACTGGTGTCATATGATGAACCATTTTGTAAAATAATGATAACTTGCTAATTTGTCTACGGTCAACTAGGGGCATAGAGTTAGTTTCCTTATGTATTTAATCATGACCAACTGGTCTATAGTTGTTACATTCATTAAAACTACCTTTTTTTATGAATAGGAGTAACAACAGCTTCCTTCCATATTGTTTGGAATTTACAACATTCTAGGGATAAATTGAATAGATTAGTAAGAGGAGTACAAAGGGATGGCACGATCACTTTGATAAATCTGTTACCTATTTTACTTTACATTCAGGTGTAGGAGTCTCCTTATCAGGATAGTCAACTTGTGCATGGTTAGCAAAATATTCATTAAATATATTTGCTTTATCTTTACTATCATTGATCAGATTATCGTTATGAATAATCGAAGGAAATTTCTTATAATCTCCATTTTTGAATTTTATATACTTATTCACTAAAGCCCACCAACATTTAGAATTACTCCCCTGATTGATCTTATCATCTAAATCAGAAATATATTTCAATTTGACTGCTCTCACGGCTGCTGTTACTTTGTTCCGTAAAAGCCTAAATATTTGCCAGTCTTTATCATAATTTCGAGTCTTTGCTTCTTTATGCTGTCTATTTCTTTTCCTGATAAGTATTCTTATAGCACTATTCATCCATGGATTGACCCGAGGTCTTATAATTACCACATTGTTTGGGACATAAATATCGGATATATTTCTCAAAACATCAACAAATTCATGTGTTAGTATATCAATATCATTACATCTAAAGATGGAATTGGGTTGTTATATATAGGTACTTTTAATATGGTGGAATTATTTATAAACTGATTACAGGGATGGACTGTTTTAATCTACCCCCTTGTCTTGTCACCTTTTAATCTACTTTTAGAAACTGCAAACATGTTTTGAAGCGTTGTATTATTTCCTGGAAGTTACGACTTCATCTATTTAACGGAACAATACACAAAGTTGTGAGTTTCGAAAACTGAATTAGAGTTTCAGAATAGCTTACGAGATAACTGAACTGACAGATAAAAAAAGCATACACATATATTTGCATTGACGGCGGTTAAAATTGACACAAATATAAATGGTTATTGGATTGCGATATATTTTTAATACGGATGTCATAGTGCCGTGTTCGACCTTCAGTTTGCAGCGTTTCGACGTTTGTTTTAAGACCTGGACGTTTGGTTTCACTTGTGTACTTTCTTTTGCAGGCCAATTTACAAGCGTATCGTAACGTTGTTTATTAGAGGTGAATCATTTACAAAACAGAAGTTATATATAATCTTATTTTTCAACACTACATATAATAATAATAATAATAATGTGTCCATTTATATAGCCCCAAACTCCACACTAGGTATGCTCATAGCGCTAACAATCAAGGCCATTATTACCCCGGATAACCCAAGCTGCCTGTTAGGCGCTAGAAGGTTAACTTTTTTCCACCGGTACCCATTTTCCTGCTGGGTGAACAGAGACAATTTTGAACAAACTCACTTGCCTTAGGTGAGACCACATGTGTCAGATGTGCTTCGTTGTGGGACAGGACTCAAGTCCTAGAAACTCTCAGGACTCAAGCTGCCAAACACGGTCACCCATCCAAGGACTCTCCGAGCTCGACGCTGCTTAACTTCACCGATTTGTGACCTGAGCTTTAAGCACAGGACCACGCGCCACCACTAGGACTACGCGCCACCACTAGACATAAAATGTTTCAACTTTGAGAGATATTAATTGACTCAACGCTTAAATCTGGGGAGTTGACACGGTTATGACCTAAATCCACGTATGGACGGAAGTTTGTTCATTAGCTTATGATCGGAAGTGAATGTTACCTGGTACAAACATTCACACTTGGTGAAGCAATGTTACCTAGTACAAACATTCACACTTGGTGAAGCAATGTTACCTAGTACAAACATTCACACTTGGTATCTATTCAGCAAGTCATCTTTACTCACCAAGACTCACCCGTTACTCAGTACTATTGACACTGATGTAATTAATCTTAACTGACTAACCTCATCCGGGACATTGTGAAGCGTTGATTGCTTGTGTGTTTATTATGAGTGAGTTACTTACGTCACTCATCTGATCACAAAGCGGCTTGTGTTTTTGTAGAATGGTGTGGGATGGTGAGGTCCGTGGTGTCAAAAATTGGCGTATCAGGTTAAAAATATTTTGTCAAGCATTGGATTAAGTAAAATATGGTTAACGCAGGAATTACTACTATATTATCTAATATCAGTACTGTTGACACTGATGTAATTAATGTTGACTGACTAACCTCATCCGGGACACATCATGAAGCGTTGATTGTTTGTGTGTTTATTATGAGTTATTTACGTCAGTCATCTTCTGATCACAAAGCGGCTTGTGTTTTGTTGAATGGCTTGGGGTGGTGAGGTCCTCGAGCGACGTCATTGGGTCCAGGAGCCGATCCAAGGCATTGGGGTAGGCTAGTTGAGTTAAACCTTGTATTCATTGCGTCCATGGTCCAGTATTTGACGCCCCTGCCTAGTGTCCTCGTAAGTGTACGGAATATGATAGAAACTTGCTAAAGTGTCGTAAATAGAAGCGACTAGACACTTCCTATGTTGAAAAGACATCTCTACTAAAAGTAAAGTCGATGTTACGATTTGAACTTTGCCAGAAGCACGTTTTCATGAATCACGAGGTGGTCGCGAAAGGTTTGCAAATCCTTCCCCACTGTACTCACAAACCTTTCACTTGATCCATTTGTAGTGACGATTCATTTTATTGACGAAGTGGTAAACCGGAGTAGATTTATAACTTCCAGTATACGTCGTGGACATTTAATTGATATCGCTTAATCTATGATTACGTGAGTTATTGTTCCGGCGATAAACCGGTGTCTTGTTCATAATCGAGCCTGGGTTTGCCAAACCAGTGGTTGATATTATGAAGAACGTACGGCGACATCGTGGTATGGTGCATGCAGTCAAGAAGCCAAGTCACCGAGCTTTTCACATAATGGCCGTCAAGCATCGTTGCTGGGATTGAGTGAGTGAGTTTAGTATTACGCCGCACTCAGCAATATCCTAGTTATATATCGGTGGTCTGTAAATAATCGAGTCTGGACCAGACACTCCAGGGATCAACAGTATGAACATCGATCTACGCAATTGGGATACGATGACATGTGTCAACCAAGCCAGCGAGCCTGACCACCCGATCTCGTTAGTCGCCTCTACGACAAAACCTAACACGGACTTAACGGGTTCATGCAACTCGGCAAAAACTGATCATGCACTAAAATCTAGTCCTGATTAATCACTGACAAAATAACGTTGATTTTTTATTCAAATTGTCTCGTCACACGTGTCTTAAATTAATCAAAACTCTACAATGGAAAACACAACAATATAGACTTCCAATATAAATCAGTACAATTAATACAAAGCATTCTTTCCTGTATGAAAATGGACACAGTGAAGATCAATATATGTGAAAGCATCTATCTTTCATAGAAACATTTAAAATTTGGCATGAAGAGGAATGTAATTATAAAACTGAAATCACGCCATCAACAATCAGAGAGCCTCATCAAAGCATTCCTTCCAAATCAGGCCTATTCAAACACAAACATGTATCTTTACCAATGTAGATTAACGATAAAGAATCCTTATTCTGATCAGCTATTGATAGTGTTACATATATTATATTTAGGATTACACCATCCTAGTTAAGTTCAGATTCTAGTACTTTTGTTGGGTTGAGTCCCATC